GTTTACAAGGCTGCAGGCCTGGCTGAAATATTCGGGCGTCAATGAAGGTTACTTGTTAACTTAGAGTAGTGCCTGAAGATTACTCTGTGCGGCTATAAACGACTGTTAAATGGAATGATGAATTGTTGAAGGATTTTGAAAACGGAAAAAATGACAGTCATGCCGGCCCAGCATCCTCAACATTGAAAAATGCCCCGGCCCGAAGTGGTTAAGGCGTATCCTGCACCAAACAAAACCAATATTTTGACTACATAACACATATTCCCAATATGCGATTTTGAATTTTGGTCAAGATAAACAAATATTCAGGGAAGAATTTAAGTTTTCCACGCACAGCCCAGTTACCCAATAAGACTTAGTCGACTTTTTATCCCATAATGCACTGCAAAAAGGCCTCTCCATGACAACCTCTTGGTGGCACACTGCGTTGTGAATCGCCCTTATTTAATAACGCACTGGTGCTATTTGAAACAGCGCACTCAACACTTCTAAACCTAGTTCCCTTACAGATCAAATGATCACAGACAGCAGGCAAGATGTAGAGAGGCAGAAAGTTGCAGAAGAGACAGTGGCGATGTTGTTCAACAAAAAGTGAAAATAAATGCCGAGTGAAACTCCGAAATTTTTTGAATGAAATTCCACTTTTTAGGTGGTTGTGCCATTTCATATTGCAAAACTGATACTTCAGACTGATGAATTTTATTTGTGGTTAGCTATTCTGTTGACAATCAGAGTTTCATTTCTAAATAAAGAGAAAATGGGCTCGAGCATGTGGTTCTCAAGCGAGATAGAAATTCCTGTGAGCCTGTGATGGCTAGACTCAGTCTACAAAGAGGTCTGCATCTGTGTAGGAGTCAATCACAATGAGGTGTTTCCACATGACAGGGTATCCTCGGGCTTGTTCAGCAAGGTCATGTGCATGAATGCTAGGCTTTGCACAAACATTCTGTGGGCATAAGTGCACTCATTTGAAATGGTTTCACACATTTTGCCGTTCTTGTACCGTATGTCCAAACCATGATCAAGGAAATTTTCAAAAAATTTTAAAACGTTACATGGTGTGGAAAAATGCAGTTAAGAGTTGCCCAAACAGCATTCTAGATTGATGAGGCAGGCACAGGGATACCAGACCATCTACGAGTTGAAAATTGAGTGGAGTAGTTGTGAAGTCCTTAACAAGTACTTCAAAAGCTATCAGAAGTCTTTGCAAGTAGTTACTGGTACCCAAGTCTCAAATCTGAACCACAAATGTTTTCATACATGATCAGTGACAAGGGCATTCCTTTGTGACTGTTCAACCCAGGTCATAAGTGACTTGCAACGGAACAAGGGGTGCCTTGTGAAAAAGTGCTTGTGAGGTACTCGACTGCATCACGGCCAGCTCCTCTACTTACCTTTCTTGCTCTCCACGAATCTGTTGATGGAGTCCAGCTGAGCATCCACCATGGTCGACCTGAAGGGACTGATAGTGTCCCCTGCCATGGGCACCACCACGTCTGCGTCTTCCACCTCTTCCTCCCGGTCGAACCACAGCTCTTCGTCCTCGTCTAGGGCGCGGGCGTCCCGCCGGTACCGATTGCTCTGGAGGATGGTCGTCTGTCGAATACTTCAGATAAAGAGAGACAACAAGATGACTTTCAGCCAGGAAACCCTGCTCCCCTAAGTTAATGTTGAAATGAACTTTCCCAGATCTCCCCCAAAAATCAGCCAATAAATGGGAAAACCAAGACCACCTCCCTTTACCCCAACCCCTTAGGGTCCATGAAAAATTACATGGAGATTGGACAGAATAAGGGACTTCAGGATCAACTGTGCAAAACCCTCCCAAAACTCTCAGGGAGTTTTGAAGTATCAGAGAGGGTCAGGGTTTTAACAAGCCATTGAAAAAAAAAAGAAAAACTAGACAGAAATATGTGGTGGCCATCATTCAAAATGCCAACCTCATAAAAGAGAAAAATGAGGGAACCAAGACAGATGAGTGAACCCCCCCAACATTTTCTCTAATCCTGTTGCCATTCCCTCAATTGTTTTGCTGTGCACAGTCTTCAGGAATTTTTCCAGTGATGTTTCACAATGAGTTTAATGACATTACAGAAATTAGGCATTCCACCCTCACAAAATGCCTCGTTTTCCGAGATATGTCTTCCAGCAATGTCAACTTTTCCCACTGCCCTGCTTAGTGCTAACCATCACTACATCAGACCTTTGCAATCCTGCAAATCAAACAAATGACACCTGAGCCCTTTTGTTTTCAGCCTGATGTCATCCTCTGGTGGCCACACAGTGTCACTGCAGAGGTAAAAGAACAACCCCACCAGACCAACATCCCATGACCATGCTACCCAGTTCAGCTACCCACCTGTCCATATTTGGTTTGTTGTTCATGCGGTCTAGGTGCTGTTCGTATTTCAGCTTAAGCCCCTTGAATGTGCTGACATAGTCCACCGCATCAAACACGTTGCTGTACGTCTCCTCAATGTGAACTATCAAAGACTTGATATCCTCCTAATTGTTAAAAAAACAATCACTGATAGTAAACTTTGATCAAAAGATCTTGGGTATAGATGTCACTTCACAATACTGAGGCATTCCCCTGCAGTTCACAAATTAAAACCCTCCTATGAAACACAAATTAAAACCCTTCCATGAAAAACATCCTCTCAGTCACAATCAGTCCAGTGACTGTTTTAAACAGTTCAGAGTCCCCTGCCTACATAAAGCAGGACTAGCTATGACAGTTTGATGTAGCTGTGCTTTGACCATCAGTGATTGACAAGCTAGCTGTGTCTACCAGTCGTGTGAATTTGTCTACTGATGGATTTTGACTGGTCACAGAGCCAACCAGAATTATGATCTAACTATATGTGACTAGCCTGTGTACAGAGTGTAGCAGGGGAAAGTAAATGCCCTATTTGACTATCTGTGACTGTTAAGACTGAAACAGGGTATAGAAAATGGTCAAACTGCATTCACCAACATTTGGAAGTAAAAATTTGACTTTTCAAAACTAGCTTGCCACAACATGGATACCACTTTGTCAGCATACCAGAATAGGAAGTAAAAGATTGAGGGAGGTTGTTCAAAGGTCTTATTATACAATATTTCTTACAGCAAACCATCTCTGAAGTTCCTGCAATATAAACCACAACCAAGTCTACTCTTTCAAAACTACATCAACTATTATGCCAGATGCCATGAAAATCAAGTGGAGGTGACCATACTAACTAGTCTGATGAACTCAAAGAGCTCAATGATGGCGGAGTTCAACAGGTTGTATTTGTTGCCGTTGTTTTTGAACGCTCGCACCACTGGCTCCATCAGGCTCCCCTTGATGATGTAGCGGTTGAAGAACTCATCTTTCCTTGCTATCATCTTCCGCACCAACCTTATGGCACCTTCATCAGAAAACAAGTCAAGGTATACAAGTCTAAATATCGCTGCACTGGAATTCAAGCCAAGCTGAATACCCATGTGGTCGGCAAGAATTGTCAAAAGCACTGGTCATGGACAAACACATTAAAATCAAATCAGATATTTGAGTTTTCCCTGATTTGGGTTCTAGGGAGGGTCTGGGGGTGGGAATCACCCAATACAGGCACACACACTCACAGAGGACCAGGAACTGGTGGGTGGACTGCAGCAGGACCAGCACCCTCCTGAGCAGGTCTTTGGAGATGATGTAGTTCTTGATATGGTAGGTGTGATGCTCTATGCAGAATGTCAGGAGCTCCAGGATCAGGCCCAACAGCTGTGCCGTCTGGTAATCATCTGATGGGAGAAGTGAAAAGAAATCTTAAATTCACGGACCTACATGTAAAGGCCTGCATGCTGATGATGTCACACTTTGTTTCCACACGCACTGCCAATGGAGCCAGTGTGGGGCCCGAGGTCCACTGAGTACAGAAGGAATGCCAACAGGTAAACAGTGTTGCATCATCAGTGTGGACAATAATTTCATTTGGCCAAAGTGAAGCGTTGAAATCTGCCAAGAAAAGGATTGCTCATCACTTGTGACAGGCTCTGTGCTGAGTTTCACTCAGGAACATTTTCTACCTATCAGTAAGAAATTGGGAACCTGGGCACACTTTTCATGGCTAAAAGCCCCCAATTTCACATGGATTGTAAACAGAAGGCACATTAGACAGGATGCCAGTTTAATAGACCAGTATTTGCTTAAAACACTGGCGCAACACTCAAGTGTCTCAATGTGTGCTTCAGCTGTGCACCTGGGATGCACCTATGGAGAGATAGTTGTCAGCACAACAGGTTGTGAAGGGGGGGTCAAGTTCAACAGGCAGTCTGCCTCCACCGGGTTCTCAACCTTTGTGAGGACAAAACAAATGGGGGATTTGTGTGTTCGGGCGTGAACCAGAGGTGAGTCGAGGTACATGTACGCTTGACGTTTCAGCCCATTATCCATGCATGTGAATACATACTGTATAGCCAGATTGTGTTTACATGTCCTCCAGCAAAAAGTGGTAAAAAATTCATGCGTGAATGCCATGCCACCGAAGCTACCACTATTACAGCATCTCCTTTAGACGTGTCTATCTTGAAATCATTTGAAGTTCATGTACCTTTGCTGGGCATGTCAGTAGCAGTGTTGGCCAGTAACGGTGCTGTCAGGATATGCATACAGTGCTTGTAGAAGAAACTCAGAAACTCGGTCTTCTCTGTCTTCTGCAGCAGAAAAGATCAATTCCAACCATTGGACTTAAGACCTATTCGGCTCAACTTTAATTGCAGAGGTTATCCCTCTGTAAGTGTTCTTTTTCAAAAATATTTCTGGATCATAGGGCTGAATCATATTTGGTGGAGAAGCTGTATAAACTTTGTTGCCTGCAAATTTCCAAGAACTGCTTCTGTCCCTTTGATAAAATCAAACAAACCACACGGGAGAAAACGACTAAAACGACACGTTTGTGTATAAAACCCCATAAAGCAAAGAAATCGTGACAGAGAAATTCCCACTTGCTTTCCAGTCTCAAGTTAACATTCTGCCAAATTGACAATGTCTTAGTTCTGGGTGCTTGTCTGAAGGCAAAACTCCCACACATTCCTTGTGGACAAGGATTGTATGGGAATTTCATGAACTTGAATCTGGAAGGTCACCAAATGACTGTACAGCTTTCGTATTTCAAATCATCCTGGAAAAAGCAACATTGACTTAGTCCAAATGTCATTATTACGTTTGCAACATTTCTACTATACAAATGGAACTGACTAAAAAACAGTGCAACTGGTAAAAAAAAATTCCATGTTGCACAGTACTTTGTAGAGAATTGACATATTCTACAAACATATTTTAAATTACACAAATAGTCCGCTTGGGAACAGTATCAAGGCACAAAGCCCCCAAAATATATTCTTACATTGTGTTTACCATAATGCACTGCAAAGTTATCCAGATGGGTTGGTCCGAAAATAAAATTACAACATTTTATGTATTTCGGAGAACTGGTCATGTGTACTAACTTCGCTTACTGTACCGGTAGATACTGTGGTAGTGTTTATTTAATACTGCTATAAAATAGTGGTGACTATTTCACCACTCTATTCTGCTTAATTGATAAATACCCACTAACGGGTAACAAAAAGATGTCAAAGTTACATGTATATGTTGTATTGGTACCAGTATTTCATACCAAATTGCAAAGGCCATAGATGTACGATATGCCAACACACAGTATGAGGTTGGTAAGGTGACGGTAGAAACTCAAGGTAGGTTGGGTTATCATAAACAGTACATTCGAACCTTCTTAACCACTTCGGA